AATGACATATATTGTGGTCTAACTATTTTTAGAAAGGGGCGACACATAATATGGGACGGAGGGAGTATATTCAAATGGTGATATAGTAAAAATTTCCTTCTATTTATAGTTTCTTAAGGGATGTGCCAAATTAATAGTGGACAACTATTGTTGGACAAATGGAGTATTATATATACTTCCTTTGTCCCTAATTACTTGTCTACTTTTCCTTTTTTAGTTGTCCCTAATTACTTGTTCATTTTGACAAATCAAGAAAAGATAAATTCTTTTACCTATTATAACCTCAATTAATTACTTTGAAAAATGTAGAACTTCTTAAAACTCTTAAGTTTTTTAATTTATCCACTTCACAATTAATATGGATAAAACAGTAAACTCACTACGTCAATCATTATTTTCTTAATAAGTGTGTCAATTCAAAAATGAATAAGTATAAGGACCGATGGAGTATAACATATTCCATCAAAAAGTTATTTCATTCCAACAACTCAAACCAAGATATTTCCTAAAAGAGCTAGACACATCACTCATGCAAATTGCCCAACAGAGCGGCCCATAAATCTAAAAAGATCTGACCATAAGGTCAACTCTCAGTTGCCCGAAAAAAATAAGAAAAAGGAACAGGCTTTTCGCTAACTTCCGTATAATCTTTTTCTTCAACTTCAACTAGTATTTTTTTTTTCAATTTCAATCAAACAATCTCTAAACAAAACTAAAATGTATATTTCAATTAGGTATAAAAATAACCTTAAGCATCATTAGAGGAATTAGTCATTCAGAATAGCTATGAATTATAACAATCATTGAGGAACAAAAAAGATATTAAAAAAAAAAAGTGATGGGCATTCTAAATAAAATCCAAAAATCCCATACAAAAAAAAAGGGAAATTATAAATGAAGTGACAAATCAAGCTTCTGATCTCTATCGTCCTTAACAAAAGTTGGTACGTTCTCTTGACATTCTTCAAAGTCATCGTTGCACACATAAGGGTTACTATTAGTATTATTCATATAGTTCCCAAATTGATTTCGATAGAGGATCGTCGCGTTATTATTATTATTATTATTATTTTCAAATCTTGGTGCTCCATTTGATCCAAATGATCTGCTAGAAAACTGTTGTTGGCTAGGTGGTAAGTGGCAAAAGTTGGCTGCATGAGCAGTAATGTAAAGAGAAGGATGATTTATAAGGCCAATGGGATGATGATTAGGTGCAAAAACAAGAGGTGTGCCTTGTGGTAGTAGTGAAGAGAAGTTAGTAGCATAGTCATGATGATGATGATGAGATGACATAATTGATCTCTTGTTCTTTCTAGCTGCTGTCCTTTCTTTCTTGTGAGCATTTTGATGACCACCCAATGCTTGTGAACTGTGAAACTTTCTTGAACAATATAAACAAGGAAATGACCTTGTGTTGTTGTTGTCTTCTGATGAATGGTTATTTGATTGGACATGGCTTACTTTCTCACTCTCCATTCCTGAAAAAGGAAGAAAAACAACATTAATTCCAAATGGCTTGAACTCAGCTACATTCAACTACTTAGGAGTCGTCTTGATAGTTGCAGGTTAGAGTTATGTAAGTATTAGTATATGAATTAGTTAGGAGAGAATTTATGTATCATTCTATGCAAAGATTAGTTATACAAGGTTCACTTATTCATGTATTAGTTATTCCTTCTTTTATCATGCATAAGATAATACATATATTTTCTCGTAAGTTATACATGTAGTAGTTATGTAAATTTCCAAATTGCAAACCAAATACCGTATTAATTTTATACATGAATAACTTATCTTCTAACTGACTACCAAACATGGTATTACTTATGCAAAATTTAATACCTGCATTAACTCATTTTCAAACCATCTACCAAACAACAACCCCTTTAAAGTATTTTGATATCTTAAAGGACTAAAAGGTTCCTGTAGGACAAAAAAATAGTGGTGGAGCCAAGAATTTAAGAGGATTGAAAAAATGTAAGAATGTTGCACTCCTATTCAAAAGTTTGTACATACAAAAAAAAGTTATCCTATTTGATAGTGTAATTTTCCCTCACTATAGGTAATGTAAACATACTAACATGGCAAAAAATTGAAATTATAGTGTACTAGTGACAAACCTGAGAAAACTGAAGAAGAGTTTGGTTTGGAGAGCAGAGAGGTAGGAGGAACAAATAAAGAGGGAACAGAAAGAAACAAGAATATGGACTTTTGAAGTTGTGAGTTATGAAAAAAATGAGGAAAGAAAGAGATACAGTTTTAAGTTGAGAAAGTGAGGTTGGGAAATGTGAAGACAGAAATAATGAAGTATAGTATTAAAAAGTGTGCAAATGGGGTGTGGCACAAGAAGGGGTGTATGGGCTTGGGGAAACTGCACAGAGAAGAGATAAGAAAGAGGAATTGAGTAGTAGTAAAAGAGAGGATAAGTGGGGAGAAAGCTAAGTGTATCATCATCCTTCCTGCATGCTGAGGCAATGGAAGAGATTGGTTTAGATCAGAAGAACTCAGAATTCAGAACAGAAAAACACTTGTGTATGGATTGGCTAAATTGTATCTGCTTCTGACACTTTTTTAAGCACTTGCTTTTCCAACTTCACCTTCTTTTCTTTTTTTGTCTTTTTTTCTCAACTAAAAAAGAAGAGAAGACACTTAAAAGCCTCTTAAGTTTTCAATAAAATAGTATACTTTTGTCCTCATAATTCAGAATTATAGTGAATTCTGTTCTTTATATATGTATTTGGGAGAGGTTATTAGGTGAATATGGTGCATCTTCAACTTACCAAGTTATGATCTTAGATAGGAGTTTAATGGAGATCGCAGATAAGAGTAGAATGATAGTAGAGAGTTGTTTTTATTACTAGCCTATTCATGTCTTTGCTAGGTGCAGGGGCGAAGCCCACACCTAAGAGTGTTGAGCGATACCCCTTCGATGAAAAATTACATTGTATATAGAGATCAATTTTTTTTTAAATAAATAACTATATATGCAAGTATTGACTTCTTTTGATAGAAGTTGAAGATTTAGTCTTAGTGGTTAAGAGGTTACAAAAATTTCTTGAGATCGTGTGTTTTGATCCTTCTAGACTACTAATTTATGTAGCTTTTAGTGTTAAGCTTTTTATTATCATTTGTGGTTTACTGCGCCTGCACCTTCTTGTTATTATTATAGTTTCTTGCATATATGTTTGGCATTACTTTGCTATTAGCTTTCATATTTTTCTTTTAATAATTATTTTAATTTGTTTGATTCGAGGGTCTTTTGAAAACAATTTATATATATATATATATATATATATATATATATATATATATATATATATATATATATATATATATATATAAATTCGAGCTATCTATATAGTCCAAGTTAAGAGTAAATTCAATGAAATTTACTGGTCTAGCCTAGATCCGGGACGAAAAGTAATTACTTAAGGGGAAACTAAGCAAATACCATATAAAAGTAAAATAATTACAAACATATACCCTTTACATTCATATCCCACTAAATAATTACAATATATACCTCCAACTAATTTCGATTAATTAATACTAAATCAGTATATATATACTGTATTGGTATCATTAAGGTTTCTTGTTCAGAAATTATTCATTAGTTAATGAAACTATAAGAGTATATATATACTCTTATAGTATCATTGACTAATGAATAATTTTTTAACAAGAAACCTTAATGATACCACAACAATATACATATTCTTCTAGTGTCATTGACTAATGAGTAATTTCTGAACAAGAAACCTTAATTATATCAATATAGTATATGATATGATTTAATATCAGCAAAATTTATGAGTCTTATAAATGATATCAATACTATCAGTTGAGCCAAATTTTCAATCTTAATAAATGGGGGCTGTAATTATTTATGAGTATTTCAGAAATTACTTTGAATTTAGATATGAACTTGTAATTATTTTGAATTTTATGGCTCATTTAAGAACTAGTAATGCCCAAAAGCTAGATGCTGCTAGTGTTTACCAATGGTTTCCCAGTTGACAAAAGCTATATGCACACTAGAGGGGATTGGGTCAGAATTTTAGTTGTCTTCATCTTTCTACAAAATGGCCTTCTACACTGCCCTAAAACTGCTTTATTCAATAAATAGTTATGGGAGAAAAAGAGCAACTTGTCTTTCTCCTATCTGACATCCACCGCCAATTGTTATGCAACTTGTCCCTTCTTCCCCATCTATTGGTTGCATGTCTTGGGACTTCACGTATGTCATCACATACAAAAACAATAACAACAGTGGTCCATATGTTCACGGACGTGGCAACTCTCAACAGGTTTTTCAAGACAAAACTATTCACCACTCATGTGGCAGCAGCACATATAGTTAATGCAAGTGCATCCACACTACTCCACCTCCCCCATACTAATAATAAAGAAAAATATCTTTTTTGTTAGAATTTCTGACTTTAGGATTTATCTTTCTACTACTTTTGCATGTGTGACTATCAGTGTTTTGTTTCTTTAAGCATCAAACAGTGCACCAGCGAAGGTCAAGTTGTAGAAAGCCAATGAACAAGTGCAACTCACTATTAAATGCTGCAACAAGCCAACAACTGAAAAGTGCACAGAGCTTTGGGAATATCAAATACAGGATAGTTACGGAACCTCCTTCTTGTTCTCATCGTTACCTGTATACTTTCTCGAATGGATGCTGCAATAAATAATTTTTTACAACCTGAGCAAATTCAGAATACTAACCTCTAATATGTAGCAGATTTGAGCCAATACATAGCCCCTCAACTCCCAGAAAATCTTGCAAATGGAACAACCAATGAGGAGGAAGAAAAAATAAATTAGACTACACTTTTATTGTGGTAAAAACACTCTTTTGAAGTGCAAACACTAATAGTTCTTGAAACAAAACTAGGACAACTTAGAACTTTTATTTGACTCATGGTATCCAACTATTTAGGGTAGCAATGTAATGATCTATTGCTAGCCTGCTAGGAGATAGCACCATTGGTTGTGTATAAAAATATTACATTATTGCAGGAACAAGGTACAGATAGTTTATAGTGACAAACAGACAATTGCACGCATCTTTATCCACTTTGAGATCTAGCAAAAACCTAAGCATCTTCTTAAAGAAAATAAACTTCGTCGTGCAGGTGTTTCATCAAGATCAGGCTCATTATTGCGGGGAAGATGCTTAAAGAAGGCTTTTACTGCTCCAGTGACCCCATCTTCATTCTCCATCGCCTTAGCCAGCTCAACTGCGCGCTCCTTTACCTGTGAATTCCCTCACGTGTTCATATTGTAAAATTTTAACAACAACTAAGCTTTGGTCTCATACAACCATGCCTTGAGTTTTTTGGTTTCCCTTTAAAAATAAAAGGAACAACTTGGTAAATAACTCCATCTTGAATTGATAATTCACAATTTGTCTCAAGTTTCTAGTTAGATAAAGGATGATGCAATATGACACTAAGATTCAAAAGACCCATTGAACATAACTTTGGCAAATTAAACTCCAGTATGTATGCTAATTCATGATTTAAAAACTTTTGCTTTTACATAATTTCTGCAAGAAATTCAGGTACATGGGATAAAAATCCATAGCAAAGTACCTTAGGATCAAGCATGAATTCAATTGCCTCAACCAGCTTAGGAAGGGAAAATTCATCGATAGGTATAGGTGGAGGGCCTACACCTCTAGCGTGCACCCTTTCCCCCCAAAATGGCTGGTCACCAAAGAAGGGTACAATAGTTGTTGGACACTGTAATCCCAAAATATGATAAAATCCAATTAGCCCAAATAAACACAAAAGGAAACAAGAGTAAAACAGAGGTTGCTGAAATCATCACCGCAGCTTTAAGACCAGCAGCCGTTGTTCCAGCACCCCCATGGTGCACCTGGAAAGAAAGAGAAAACTGGTAATGTCACTTATCATACACATGCTAAGCTGGATGATACTTCAAATACAAATCACATAAAAGGGAGTTTGTTAAAGCTTTCAATTGACTGAGAACTAGAGACAGCGGCCTTTATGAAGCAATATAGAGCACCAACACCCCTCCCCTTCTCTGCCCAACTCCCACTCTTGCAATGTATTTGTCAGTGGCACAAAAATTTTCAAACCACCAATTCCCCTACGGCCCTACCCAACCGCGTGCAACTCACAGCAGCATAAATTTGTTGACTCAACTCATATAGAAAGTAACCTATCAGAAAGACACTAGAAAGGAAGTAGCACTTCAATCTCAAATCTTGACGAGGGAAATATTTTATCATATTTTGCGAGAGAAAGCAGTTTATCTAATTTCCCATGTTAGCACAATCAAGTCTTTTGAAAAAAAAAAAATTACACAGTCAAAGGCAACCAACCGCTAGGCTTAATAAACATTTTAATCCAAACCATTGTTGTTACATTAACGTTGCAGGTTTATGCCACTTTGGTCCTGGATCTGAACCCATATTTTGCAGCTGATGGCTATTACAACCCAGTCTGGGATTATGTTAAGAAGTCTACAAACCCACCAAACTGGCACACATTTACGCATCTATAAAAACAAAGGGAGGCCAAGACGGGAAACACATGCAACTGGGGATGGAGCCAGGAATTTATTTAAGCGGATTCAAAAAGAAACTAGAATGTTACCGTTGGGATTCGACTGTGAAATTAAGCAAATCTTGAACCCCCTCTACTACTCTAGAATTTTTCCCGATGTCAAGGGGATTCAATAGCTTAATGTAACCAGCAAAATACATTTTTAGCCTATTTACAAGGTATAATATATCGATAAAGGGGATTTGGTACCGTTTCCCGTGGCTATGAATACCTTTGAAAGGTTAAAGTGAAATAGTTCAATTTGGTCAAGAACTAAAAATAGGGGAGTGATAAGGGCTCCATTTAGTTTCGCCACTGCATGCAACATAATCAGAGAGCTCTACGTGCTTACAAAGCTGTAGAAACAACGAAAAAGTGGTCAGAGACATGCACACATCGTCATGCATAGCATCTTATGTCTCAAGCCTAGGCCATGCAATTCTAACAGTCAAGAATTTGTGACCCATATTTATCAACTAGATAGTAACATTATACCATTAGTAACAAAAAATAAGACCGAAGTCTTTATTGATAATCCCACATAAAAACTATGTATACCAATTTATAAGCCTAAGTAAGGCTGGCAAACGGACAGGATTTTGGCCGGTCCGGTCCGGTTCCCGTACCGGTAAGCCCGGTACCGGTTGAACCGGTAAGGAACCGGTCTTAAGGGTACCGAAACCGATACCGAAACGGAACCCGGTTTTTATCCAGTCGGTAAGAACCGGTTCCGGTCCGGTTCTTGCCCGGTTGATCCGGTTCAACGGTCTTTTTTTTTTTTTTTGAACGTTAATATATTTAGCCGTTGGGCCCGGGCCCAAAACGGCTCAAAACTGCCCCCCACCCCTCTCTAACCCCTTAACACTATAAATATACCCATATTCTTTTATTTAAATCACAAATTCACAAATTATTTCATTAACATCTTACAAAATCTCTCTATTTTCAATCTCTCATAAATTCATAATTATTATTTTGTGATATTGACTTGGAGTTCGGATTTGGGAGATTTATTTGAAGTATATTGGAAGCTTCAATTGACATCTCTCAATTTCGGCTTTGGTTATACGTCTACTTTTACGTAGACGTTCGGTACATTCGTTCCAACTTTAATTTTTTATTTGTTTATTAATTAAGTTATTTTATTTTTTTTTGTTATATTATCTTGCTTTTTTTCATAATATTAATTATTTTAAAACTTGAACATGAATTTGGAAAGAAATAGTGGTAAAAGACCAATGTCGGAAAGAAAAAATAATAGGGGAGGAAGTAGTTCTAATTCTAAAAATTTGCCACCTCCTAGATTTAGAATTAATACTAATGATTATACTCATGTTGATGAAACTTCTTTTACACGAGACTCACGACCTATTGAATTTAATTCCAAAAATGAAGTAGATCATGAGACTTTAAATAGATGTTTTACTAATTTTGAGGAAGAATTAGATGAGAAAGTAGAAATAAATGAGGAAGATGATGAGACCCCTACCCCTACTAGTCCGGCTACCGAATTACCGGAACAAGATGAAGTCCCCTCTTTACCTACTTTTTCAAAGACCGCTGTACGTGTTAAAAGATCTTTTAGTATGGAAATTTTTGGTACAAAATGAGGAAAAAAACTATTGTTACTTGCACGAAATGTAAATTGATCATGAAACATGTAACTACGGGTACACAAGGGGGAACGGGACGACTAAGAACACATTTGAGAAAATGTAATAAAGAATTTGCTCGCCTAGATGATATAGAAAGGACTAATAGAAATGGAATACTCATAGCTGAAAATTCTATGGGAGTTGGAGGTTCTAATAAGGTTCAAAGTGTATTAAATATGACTAACCCGGCTAGCCGAAGCACACACCACACATATAGTAAAGAAAAAGATCGTAGAGAATTAACTAAAATAGTTGATGTTTGTGGTTTGCCTTTTTCATTTCCTTCCCATCCTGGTTTTGTTCATTATATTCGAGAATTGTATAACCCAAATTATGAAGGTATTCCAAGAAGTACAATTAAAAGTGATCTTTTTAAATATCAAAAAGAATATTGTCATTTTCTTCGTTGTTTATTATGATGGTAGATTATCTATTACTTCTGATATGGGACGTAGTCCTAATGGTAATGATTATTTTACAATTACTGTCCATTGGATTAACCATGAATAGAACATGCAAAAACGAATATTACAGTATAAATATGTTGAAGAAACTAAAACCGGTTCTTATATAGCAAGAAAAATAAGCTCTATTTTACAATTTTATGGAATATGTGATAAAATAATGAGTGTCACTTTAGATAATGCTTCTAATAATTTAAAAACAATTGATTATTTAAAATGTAGACTTTGTCCAATTGATAATGATTCTTTTCATATTAAGTGTGTCGCACATGTGTATAATTTGATAGTAAAAGATGGTATTTCTCAATTTGGAATTTCTTGTAAAAAAATTAGACTTGCTTGTAATTGAATTTTTAAAGCTAAAATAAAGGCTAGAATTACAGAATTTAAAAATCGTTGTAAAGAATGTAGACTTGCATATAGAAAAGTTCCAAAAGAAGTATGCACTAGATGAAATTCTTTATTTGAAATGCTTGAAGTTTCTTATATTTATCAAGAGCCGGTACAATTAGTTTTTAATGCTCATAATGCGGACCCGAATTTAAAAATTGGCTATGAAGATTGGGAAAACACAAAAGAACTTATTGAATTTTTAAGTGTTTTTTATAAAGCAACAAATGCTGCTTCTGGTCAATATTATCCAACTATTTCTACTGTTTTAGTAAATATTTGTGCTATTTCATCTGAATTTGCAAAATATAGAGGAAAAGATCGATTTAAAGATTCACTTGCTTTTATGATTGAAAAATTCAAAAAATATTTTTTCCCTATTCCTCAAATCTATTTAACTGCTACTACTTTCAACCCAAATTACAAATTAAAAGGTGTTGAAAGAATGGTTGAAAAGATTTATGCAAATTTAGAAATTAATGATTATGAAACTCCTAGTGTTGAAGATTGTAAAAGTAGCATATATACAAAAGCTAGAGAGTTATATAATACATATAAAGCTATGGAAAAAAATATTCCAATAGTTGAACCTCCATCTTGTAGGCCTAGAAGTGATGATACGGATGATTGGATGGATGATTATCTTGAACTTCAATCCTCTACTAATAATGATTTTGATTTATATTTCAATCAGGCACGGGAAAAGATTAGGAATGAAGAAGGACAACTTCAAGCTCAAATATTAGTATGGTGGAAGAATCGTGAAAATCAATTTCCGACCCTTGCTAGGGTTGTTCGAGATGTGAAAATCAATTCAAGCATCATCGTCACTTCGGAGCAAGCCTTTAGTGCGGCGAGATTTATGATTGGAGATCATCGTTATTCATTAGCAAAGAATAGTTTGGAAATATCGGTGTTGTTTCGAGATTGGGTCAATGTGGAAAGAAGAAATACCAGATTACCACAATTAAATAGCCAAATAGAAGACGAAATAGATGAAATATTTGGTGATAATAGTGATGATGGCATGGAAGCAATGGAAGAAGAACGACAAATACAAGTTCCAAAAAATGTTTCTTTTGAAATGATACAAAAGTTACGAAAAGATTTTAAAAAAAGTTTCAATTGTTAGTACAATAATTAATATCCAATACCTAGATTATGTACTCTTTGTCTCTTTCTAATATTTGTATTGTACAATTTATTTATTTGAATAAATATACGGCTATTCGCCTTGATTTTCTTTTAAAATAGTCTCTTACATTTAATCCAAGTCATTTTAGAAATTTAATTTTCAACTATTTTAATATTAGTTTAAACTTTAATATAAAATTGAATTTTAAGGTTTAAACTCAATATAAACTTTAAACTTTAAAGTCAATTTTAAACTTTAAATTCAATATAAACTTTAAAATTTAAAGTCAATTTAAAACTTTAAAGTTTAAACTTAAATTCAATTGAAAGTTTAAAGTTTAAAGTTTTAAATTGAAGTTTTTTTAATAATATAATATTATATAATAATTAAAGTTAATAAAAAAAAAAAAAAAAAAATTATCGGTACACAATGATCTGGTAAGAACCGGTTCCGGTCCGGTCCGGTCCAAACCGGTTCCTATCCGGTAACTAAGGGACCGGGCGGAACCTTTGGTAATTTCCAGTAAAACCGGTTCCGGTAAATAAATCCGGTAACGAGGACTGGTTCCGGTAAAACCAGTCGTGTTGATCTGGTCCTGTCCAATTACCAGCCTTAAGCCTAAGTCAATATTGAAAATCACATGTCAGTCCTCCATTTTTAATTGCGCCTCAAACCAAAGTTTTGTCCTATGGCCTTAGGCTTCTGATATTTCCTTGAGCTTCTTCACCGAATAGCTAAAAGATACAGAAAAACGAGTAAAAGTTGCAAAAGGCTCACCACTGCAGAACATTGTAAGAATAGCCAATCATGGGGACAATTATCAAGCAAGTACACAAAATCCTTTGGCTCAGCCACTGGATACAACAAAAAACAAGTATTAGCTGAGTACCACCTCCAAAATTTCATGAGTTACCTACACAAACATAAATAATTAAATAAATTGATTATTCTTACACTAGAATAATAAACAGAACTTACAATTGCCAAGGCCACCCCAGCCTTTGTTAATGATCCCCCTTTGTCCAGTGCGTTCCAATGCTTCAACAATTATTTGGGTCATTTTCTCTGGCTCTTGAACAGGCTGAGATTGTAGAAATAAGAAAAATTGGAGATGGATAATAAATAAATCTAAAGCTTGAATCTTGGGATATCAAAACATTAAGTAAATATGAAATATAGTGTCACAATAGTTTGACCAATTTTTAGCATTATCTGAATTATGTCTGAAGACGACGAATATTGACATGTTTACACAGATCCCTTCCTAGAGAATTTGCAATTGTGTTATATCACTTCTGATATGACATGTTATTAGCATACAACATCTGACAGAAAATTAACATTTTCTACATATAACTATTTTCAACAGTCTCAAATACAAAATTTGATTCACAGTTCAAATTTGACAATAACAACTAATCACAAAGTACAAGAAACAAGGAGCCACCATTCCTCTTTTTTCTAAATTTATCAGGGACATGGAAGGTCGTTTTAGGTTTCTCTAAAAAAAATTATAACTCTCTATTTTCCTTCTCTTTATTGTGAAGATGGGGAAAAGGAAGAGAAGAGAAATGAGAAGAAAGCAAATATGTTAAATATTGAGGATCCTGTAACTTACAAGACTACCAAAGCCAATGTAAATGGGTTTCTGACCATCTTTCAGCCAATTTACTAGTGATTCTGGAGGTTCATAACCAGATGCAAGATCGAGGAAGCAAAATCCCACCACATCAACCTTTGGTCCCCAATCTGCAAAAATGTAACTATATAAAGAACAGTTGTGACTTCTTTAAACAAGAATGCTTTTGATAAGACTTGCTGCTGGGAAGATAAAGGACTTCTGTGCTTGATTATAGACATCTGAAGAGTAATTACCTTTTGGTTTAGAAACAAGGTGAGGACTCCAAATATATCCATGTGGGATATCCAGCACAGAGACTTGAGAACTGCTTAAATATGTAACTGGTCTTAGCTTCAGTTTTCTTTTCCTGGTATCATTAATCATATCTCGAATTCCTAGCCAAATCAAGGAGTCAACAATCTGATACGACAGCTGCAGAATTCATAAAAGAGCAAATGTGAACAGAAACCAACCTTCTTTCTTATCTTTTTCATTGGGTGGGTGGGAGAGGGAAGAGAGGAAGGCAGTATCAAATGAAAAAGCAACACTAGATGCAAAGTACAGATATTAGAATCCAACTCACCCGATATCCAGCTGGTTGTTTAATGCGGGACAATGGATGAGGAAATTCGCTAGTTGGCCTGGTACAAAAAGAGAGAATGTTTACTTACTGAATAACTTAAGGTCCAGATCTAACTTTTCAATAGGACATGTAATATGAAATGAATATAACAAATAACTAAATAGCTTCCTAATTCTCCATTACCCAAGCAAGACTTACGTCCATGGCATTGTAAAGAAAATATGAATTGGAATTTTCAGTGCTTCCGCAACATGTGTATGCCCTGAAAAAGAGATTTCTGGGTTAGCAATAGAAACTATTCTTCCACTATCACCACAAGAACGTACATCCAAAATATTTTATTACCATAAAAGCTATGAGAAGAACCTCCATCAAAGTTCAAAGTGAGCTTGAAAAGCCACTACTAACAGAAATTTGACTGGAGGTGACTCATCCAGGAGAAGATGAAATGGTCTTTATTGGGGAACAATAAGCCAAGCATACAGAACCATTTGGCACACCCTAGTTAAAAGTGGGACCTGTTTTTCTTTTTATTCATAAATTCATGCCCACAAGAACGAATGTCAGTTATCAAACTAGAATCAACTGTCTTCCGAGGAGGATCCAGGATTATAATTCTATGGGTTCAGTATTGGGTTTTATTTATTGAACCCATCATCTTATTTGAGTTATGGGTTCATAGTGTTCAATAATTTCAACAATGTCAATGTATTTTACATTGAAAGTCCAGGTCTAAGATAAACATTATGGGTTCATTATACTAGATACACCCGACTGTATTAGCCAAAAACTAACACAACTACCCTCCAGATCCATTTCCAAGACCTTCAATCCGCAGGTTCAAATTCATGTCGGTCTATTGTGAAAGTGACCATTCAACAACTATGCTTCAAACAAAATGACACAAACTTCTTCAGCTTTTCTCATCCTTGAAAACAATAAAGTGCTACTTTTACACATCTGAAAAGCAAATATATTATTAATGCATGAATAAAAGAAACTTTCTCAAGTTTAAATGAATTTGCACATATCTAACTATACTTCATGGGTCATCAAAGTCAATACCCAAAACCAATTTCCAGTTAATGTATGTTACTTATACTATGTATCAAAGTATGCTCTAAATGAACACTAATGGAACATAAAACTCTGGCCAAAATCTCCCACATACTACTAACAGTTTCAGTATGTACAGTATAGTGCAAGAATTATCTCAATTCTTTGAGATAATAAGCTATAGTAAAAGATTTCTGAACGATGTTGGAGTCAATCTCCTCTCTTCTGACTACAGTATACAAAAGTGAGAAAATACTGTCTGAAACTTGGCAAAGTAAAAGGCAGACCAAAAGCTTGACAAACAGGTAATATAACTAGGTTCTCTCTGAGTTACTTTCATTTCTCTTGCCAAAGTTGAGAGGGGCACAGTGTGTTCTGAGACTATGTAGCTAAATATGTTGGCATAATCTGCGAAGTACTGGAGTAAATTTTTGTTTTTTATTATAAGGTAAACAAATTTTATCAATGCAAGCACCAAGATGGTACTGCAAAATAAAAAATCACAAAATTACAAAGAACACCATATATCAATATAACTACAATCATCTCAATGAATCTAAGAAGTCTAAAACATCTGAGAAATCTTCAACTGTCCTCTCCTTACACCGGTAAGTAGATTTTCAGGAGAAAAAATCTGTCATTTCATCTTCTTTTTTTTTACTATAAAAGACTCAGGTTTTCTAAAGACCTTCATGCAAACACTTGATAAAAGAGTCAGCAAACAGGTAAGAAACAGGTAAGATTACCTATATGGTCGGGGATTATTAACAAGGAAATGAGCAAGCAAAATGGTATAGAAATGCACAATTTACACATCTTACCATATGCTGGGGGATTAGCAATAATCGCATCTGGTTTAAAGGGTACCCCAGTATCCATATCAGGTTCTTCGCAAGCTGGGAGTAGAGAACTTATAATATCCTTCAATTGGTTTCTCTGAACAGGAATTTCTGAGGGTGCAGAAGGTAAGAAGCCCTTGTTTTTAACCATATCTACAAATCAAGAGAAAGAATGTTGAGTCAATTCTGATAAGAACTTTGCACTTAATGACAATTATGAATGAAGGCTCCCATTGAAATTGATGAAATTTGAAGCAATCAGCAATTAGTCAAATTCAAGCATCTAAGGACATTCTCTACAACAGCTTAGAGACAGACCACATATTCTGGTGTACCTACAAACCCAGAGACAAAGCACTTGCAGATGATGTGCAAGATGTTTAGGAACCAAGTCTAATACCCTTATATAATACTAAACCTCAATTTATGCACCAAAAAAGACTCACAAAACAAGATTTTTACTGGCAAAGTAATCTAAGTTCAAGTAAATGAAGTCCTTTAATCTTCAGTTCTACAAGGAAAAAGTCATTATCCAATAGAGGAAATGACTTTCTAGAGAGTATAAGAAATAACTAAGGATGGACTTGTTCTTTCAGATTGATTATTTCTTCCCTTTCGTTTTATTTATCCTGTTTTGGTTTCAGATGGGATATTTTGAAGCCCTTTGCAGCAGGTTTAACATTTGATCCTTGAAAATACAAAATGAATCAAGCTAGTTTACCTTATTACTACTTACTAGTTATGGGCAACAAGAAGCGGACGCACTTCCAAGCAATTCAGATGTAGTCCTTCAACATTAACCAGTCAATGGATATACATAATGAATTTTCCGTTATGAAAATTCAATATCAAGGTTTGTCACAACCATGTGAACCAATCACAAGTTTGTTATACCTCACTTGTTTTAGGTTGAACAGAGTTACAAAAATAATGATGATTAATAACACAATGTTTTGCGAAGATCCAAAAAAGGTAAGCACACATCTAGAAATGTAGAGTATCAGATAAAGTACAAGCAAGACACTAGACCCACATGAGATTGTTAATTCAGTTTCAGAACAAACAGAAACTTAGGAACATACATCCAGCCAAAACTATTGGATCACCCCCGAGAGGATAGAACTCCAACCCAGCGGTTAAGACAAACTCTTTGAAATTTGCATGGGTTGCCAGCCTCACTCGATGGCCATACTCCTGCAACAGCAATTCTGTCAACAAGCTAGCATAGACCAAACCATACTTTATTAGCTATGACAATAAACAATCAGAGACAAAATCAAAACAAGAGATAAGTCATCATAGAATCCAGCTTCTTAGACAAGATTAGCATCTTATAAGAAGCAAAGGGTCTTCATGGCAAAGGAAACAACAGCTCTTCTAATCCATTGACCACTAAATGGTGGAACACCATTAATTCAAGGTGGACCACCATTAACTGAAGATCTATCAAAGAGAAGGGTTCTCAACAGAAATACAAAATAACTATCAACCATCTCTAACCCACTTCTATTTTACTCTCTATTCTCTATATTAGGGAGAGTAAAATAGAGAATAGGCACTCCAACCCTTCTTTATTATAGTCTCTATCCTTCATTTTTAGAGAAGTGAGAGAACTACTATTCACACTCTTTATTTCATTTTTTTATTATTTTATTATTATTTCTAATATTTTGTAATTAACATATTATTTTACATATAATGTCATTAATTAAATATTTAATATTGGTAATTCTTTTTAAATGTAATATAATATTTTAAAAAATATATTATTTAACATATACTACTTTCATCCCGAATTGATAATATTTCTTTTTCTTTTTTTTTTCACTTTAATATATTTTGATTTATTATTAATTTTCACTATAAAGAATGCACAAAATTAAATGGTCTGCAATTGTTCAAACTATTTGTGATCCACGTTCTCAAAAGAAGAAATATTTTGCAATGAAACAAGAATTGTGCCGAAAAGATGTTGAACATGCATTCGGAGTTTTGCAATCACATTTTGCAATTATTGCAGGACCGCCACATTTTTGGAGAAAGGAAGTGTTACATGATATAATGACTACATGTATTATACTGCACAACATGATAATCGAGGATGAACGTAATCTTAATGCATCATCGTAGAGGCTCAAGCTGCAACGATATAAATGGTGGTAGATGAAAATCTCCGATTTGAACAATTTTTATTTAGACATAAAAAAATGAAGGACAAAAATGTTCATCATAAACTCCGTATTGCATTAATAGAGCATTTACAGGAACAATGTAATAATCTTAAAAGTTGAGTATCTATGTAAGTTTATGTAATTTTCATAAATGATTTCAGATTTATTTGAATCATCCATTAATTTGTATTATGTTATTTAGAAATTTAGAATTAAATATAATTTTATATCGAATAAAGAATTTGAAAAAATAAAATTTTATATCACATGAAAATTAAATAAAGTGATTATTTGGAAAAAGAAAAGAATGGATTTATATTATGACATAAGAAAATAAGAATGAAATAGAAGTAATAATATAATATTGAGGAGAGAGAAGAAGATTCTTTTTTGGAGAGTAAAATAGAGAATTGGGTTGGAGTTGGTTGTTTGAGAAAATAGAGAAATTTATATTTGGAGAGTAAAATAGAGAATAGGGTTGGAGATACGCTAATACACCTGGGAGGACAACTAGCATTTACAGGTATCAAGGGTATCTCTCGTGACATCGTAAAAAAGTATAGCTATGTAACTCCATCACAAAAGCATCAGTCAAAAATTTTAGAGTTATAAAAACTATGGCTACCAGCGCAAATGTTCCATCAGCAAAAAGACAATATTTTTTCAATTCTAACTCCTTATTTCAGCAGAACATTTCATGGCAAGAAAAGCATAATTTAAGACATAATCAATGCAACAAGTAAGAAAAATGGGTCTGTCTTATAAATACATTACGATTTCTCAAGTATGAATAAAAGAAACAAGGAAGAGGGAAGGTAAAACCACAAACTAGATCATCAGGTTCATGATGCAATCTTGTTTGCTGGTTTTCTCGAGCTTTGAGCAAGTCCAAGTTTTAATCACCAAATGGATTGGAGGCATAACAAATTTGAAATGTTAAAACTGGAATGACTAGGACAGTAACCCACAACAAAAAAAGGACACTGGAAATTTGAAAGGAAAGAATGTCACTATAGGTTTCCGATTCAGAAATCAAGCCACAGTGAAAAATACACTCTGCTCAAAGAGTTGCAAGTGTTTTTCACCGATTTAACATTTTAAAATACATATGTATAATGCATGTACAATGTGGAAACAGCTTGCAGATATAGAAACTGAGATTGCAAAATGATGCCAGGTACCTGCAAACGTTTGCCAATTGCAATAAAAGGTTGCACATCACCACGTGTTCCAACAATAAGCATTACAATCTGTATTGGAGGAATATAGTGAAGTTCTAGTTCATCAAGAGGCACATCTTCAACTTCATTACAGACACTTTGAGATTCAACTCCAAGGACCCTGGATTCTTCATCACCCGGAATCTCAAATTCTACAGTTCCATTGTCTCTGACAGTTGCGATCCTCTTCAACAACTTGAGCTGCAGTATGTTAAGTGCAAAACAAGCATCAATGTTATGTAAATTAGTTGAATAATTTATCCATCCTTGAGTGATATAAAATTCAATAGTATGAAACACCAACAATGACAAGACAAAATAGTATGATGTTCCTAAGGGTGCCAAATTAATCCCAAGCAGGTACTCTGCCCAACTCGCCCAAGTTTGGACGGGTTGCGTTAAGAATATATCCATTGGTGGGTCAACAAGCGTATGTGCAAATTGACCTATCTAATAGCCTGTGCCTACCTGTCCAACCAAGTCCCAAGATATGTACTTTTTCTTTTTGTTTAGTTTGCTATAAATTTCTCCTCTCCAATTTCACATACTTTTTCTTTCTATAAGAAAAGAAACAATCTTTTGGGTTGTTAATTAAACATGGTATAATAAATGAAGAAATGGTTTCGACTTGCGCATTGTTAGACTATGAAACACTGTTTAGCCCAAATTGATCGAATCTGACGGGGTTAGGTCACGGCCATTTATTGATTAAACTTGTTTGACAAGTCCAAATGCGGCCAAACATTCCTATTTGACATCCCTAGACATTAATTGGAGATGATAATGAAGAATGCTTTTCACTGAAAATGAAAAGCATTTAAGTTATAGTTAGAGGGTGTTTGGATTGGTTTAAAAGTTAGTCAAACCTACTTTTTAAGCCAGTTTTTTACTTCTGAAAGTGTTTGGCAAATATAAAAAATAACTTAAAATAAGTTAGGAAGTGTTTGGCAAGTTTAAAATGACTTAAAATAAGTTTTAAATGACTTGAAATAAGTCAAAAACCAATAGTAGGTCTCCCCCTACTTTTTATTTTTTTAACTTAAAAGTCATTTCAGTTTTAACTTTTTATTTTTTACTTTAACAGCTACTTTTTAATGTTATCTGGTGATTGAGATAGAAAGTGAAACTAATTTCAACAAAGTGATAATGGGGAAAAAAAAGAGAGAGTAGAATTAGCAAGTTTTAGTTAATGTAATGGAGAGCTGAGAGAAAGGATTACCAGAAGCCAAAGCCAAAAATAGAAGTTTATAAATATGAAACATGACATGATATGATGATTTCATCTTGAAGACTTGAACTATACCTTCTGTTGTTCAGAATCGCTGTCATCAGAGATATTTGCTGCCTCTTGAGCAAATTGACTATTGTGTGTAGGTGGCTCAGTTTTTGATCTTTCCAACTTAAGATGACCTGAATGTGATTCAGATTTGTCTGAGCTAAATATTTTGTGAGGCAGTGTAGTGAAACGTGCAACTTCCGTGCCAGAAGTCTCTAACATAAAAAGTTACACACTTACAGTAAGCATAGAAGATGGCCTGTTTCAAAAGCATCAGAATTCACTGTAAAATAAATTGCATTTCCTGTCGAGCACATACAAAACAATCATCCATGTTTGTTCATCCATCACACAGAAGTAGAATGATTGTACTACAATATTTTATTGCATTTCGGCTGACTTAAATTGATGACAACACTTAGTCTCAATTACTCAAACTGTTTCAACTTGCTCAACATTGTTTGCTTATCACAGATAAAATTTGACAATTCCACAACTAAATTAGACTAAAGTTAATAATTTTACGTATAAAAATATTATACCTGACACTACTAAAGTTTATATTTTACTGCTTCCTCCTTATCAATTTGTTTGCCTCAGTTAAATAACCGTCAAAGAAATTATTGTGACTAATTAGTATTTTATTATTTTTACGTAGTTTTTAAATATATAAATTTTATTTCAAAAAGAAAATTTGAAAATTCTATGTTGAATTTCACATAAAATATTAGTCAAGCCAAACAAATTGAAACAAAGATAATATTACTTATACCAAAAAAAAAAAATAGTTCATTTAAGATATCACTAATAAGAATTCATAAACCTGTGAAACATTTTGGAACAAGGCGAATTTATTCAGTTCGAATCCGTGTGTAGGTAAACTGCAAAAAAAAAAAAAAGAACCTGAAGAGTCACTGACGACATTGGAAACTGAACCACCAACTATTTCTCTGCTATCCAGTTCAGTAACAGCATCACAAGCATTATCATCTCCATATTCATCTACAACATCCTTCTCTGTCGACATTGATACTTCACCTGAACTAGAAAATGAGCTCGCCGGACCAAAATTCGTCGAAGATCCGGTATCGCTAGCTTCACCGCCTCCAGCGAACTCTGCTTCCCTTGTTCCAGATTTTTTGCAACTTCTCAAAATCTGCAACCAAACAGAGAAATCCAGCAGAAGAAGTAGTATAAGGTGAAGAGAGGGGTGCGAAGAGGAGAGAGAAAGAGCACGTTTGAATTGTGAGAGAATTCACGCCAACCGCAATGGGGAAATAAGAAAAAAGAAATAATGATGGATATTTTTGTAATTAGCGAATGCTCTATTAGTATTTTATGTATGAGCTCGCCGTAAGTAGGGGTGGGCTTTCGGTATTTAGTTTGGCATTATCAAATTTCCCGTTTAGTAATTCGTTAATTAGTACTCCCTTTATTTCATATTAATTAAATTTTTGAGGTATTTTTTATTTTTTAAATTAATTTAATTGTTCAATTTTCAAGACTATTTTTAGAGTGTTCTTTCAATTTTACTCTTCATTTGGATTTTCAATGTGATGACTTCAATAAATTTGATAATAATTAATAAGGGTAAAACTAGAAAACTATGTTCAATTTATGTTTTAATCCACTTTTTTTAAAGGGTGTGAAACACCTCAAAAATTCAATTAATATGAAATGGAGGGAGTAGTTAAAAGTAGATATCAAATATCAAAATTTTAAATTTTGATTTGATAATTCGGTAATAGGTAAATTAAATATTGATTTGATATGGTATTTGGTAATATTGTATCGAAGTTGTAGCGAATTGTATTACAAAGTTAATACTATTTTTTCAATTATTTCTATTTTTTTTATGTGGAGCCACCATATAATAGAAGATCAATAAGTAAGAAAATATCAAGAAAAATAAATTGATACAACTAAAAAATATGTATTTGGATTGTTTATGTTCATTTTTAAGTTTCTTTTTTAAACTTGTTCTAATGAGTAATGGACATATTGATATATGATTTTCATCAAGTAATAATTCGATATTCGGAAAATACCAAATGGTACTAATATCTTATACCAATCCAAACTTGAATCGGAATACCATAATTTTAAAATTTTACTTTCGAATACTATAACAAATACCCATTAGTTAATTTGATTTAATTCGATAATTCAATTTTTTAATATTTTATGCCCGGCCCTAATCGTAAGCCGTGATGTGTGCTCGGCAAGAATCCCCTTACTGTCAGAAAATCCATATGTGCGGTGTTCGCTACACTTATGGCCCATTATACCCTTGATGGCTACCCTTACTTTTAATTGATTTGGTATACTTAAATTAACTGAGTAATATTTAGGGTTAATTTCAATATAAAAATTATAATCTTTTGAAATGTAAAATTTAAAATTATAGAAAAATATTTAATATTAAGTAATTTAAAATATTTTTAACTTAAAATATTTTTAGAATGATTAAAAATACTTTTTAATTATTTAAATAATAATTAAGATAAACAAATTAAAATATAAGGAATATTAGATTTTGCTTAACAAGTTTCTTGTCAACTTTGTTCTTCTCTTTTACTTAAAACCCCAATTTTGTGACATTATCTATACATCACTTTTCAACTATATTTATCTTTTCCAAGACTATTGTTGAAGATTTCAATCTTTAATTATAAAAATAGAAAAGAAAAAAATTTGCAACTTGTGTTGAATATTACTATTATTTTGCTTAAATAGAAAGGGCATTAGACTGCATGCCTAATACAAACACATAATTAACATAAGTCATACAAAAGAGCAACAAAGAAACTTAAAAAGGGAAAAAAAAACAAAGAAAAAAATGAAACTCAATTACAAACAATAAATCATAGAATGAGATCTCTAGCTTACAACAAAACGTCTTAGTGTGATTGTTTATCTTCAATTAATTACAAAACTTCTACGAAATGATATGGAATCAAAAATCAAGTAGAAATGTCATTTAAATTCGCTTGAGGTTGACAATTGCAATTTTAAAACTTATAGATAGGTTGAATAATAAGCATGACCTATATATCAAAACTTTAGATACATATCTTGTATGATATAGAGAAAACGCCCTACTAATATTAGAATCCCCAACAATAGATCAAACATAGAATTTTGATACTCCCTTCGTCCACTTTTATTTGTCATATTACGCTTTTTGAAAGTCAATTTGACTAATTTTCAAAATTAAATTAGATTACATTAATTCGATATTTTAAACAAAAAAAAATAGATATTCAAAAACTAAACGAGAAGTACTATAAATTGCAATTTTTTGTATGTCAATTTGGTGAAAAAATACATGTAAAATGTTAGTCAAAATTTTTATACGTTGACTCTAAAAAAGAAAATTATAACAATTAAAAGTGGACGGAGTGAGTACCATATATATATTGAAATTGATTCTATAAATAGTAAAATTGTTAGTCTCAAACTCACTATATAATATTCTTTTTGTCTCTAATTACTTGTTCACTTTTTCTTTTTTTAGTTGTTCCTAATTACTTGTCCATTTTGACAAATCAAGAAAAGACAAATTCTTTTCACCTATTGTACCCTCAATTTATATATATATATATATAAGTTAATTTCATATGCATCATTGTGTGCTTACATTACTGAGTCATTTCCGTCACTTTATTTTTTAAACATATTTATTAGTTTATGATTGAAATATTTGCATGAATTCTGCATGTTAAATTTTTTTCCTTTTAGCAAAACTTTGATTAAGATTTAATGCAACCTTCGGTATATCATATGCTAATTGAAAAAAGGGTGGTGGCAATGAGTATTAATCTTAATTAAGGTGATTAGAATTATTTACTATAAAAGAAAAATATATATTTGATTTATATTAGTGACACCGTACGGTATGGAGCAGGTTATTGTATCAAGAAGGAAGAGGTAGGCATTGGTAAAGGATGTGTAGCTAAATTAACAAGAATGAGTTGTTCGAGGTATGATCAGAATAAAAATGAAAAAAATTATTCTGCATGAGCCACGCATACTGTCAGTTGTGTGAGGCCTTTTTGGGCTGCCACTTGTATTTTGTGGGATCCATAATGTACTCCTTACTTTTTCTTTTCCAATTTTAACTTTTTCTTTTACTTTTTCTTTTTTACTTGCATTTTCTGTTTTGCTTGTTAATTATTAGTGTAAATTTTATTTTTTAATTAAAACTCATCCACGGTATCTAATATACATTTTATATCTCTATTATTATTTATTTGATGGGAAATTAAAGTAATATATCAAAAAAAAAAAAAATTTTTTGGATGAATTCAAAAAAATTGAGGATAGTGAAACTAAAAAAAATAAATTGAACTTTCTTCAATAAAGTAAAATTCATATAATCAACCAATTGAACTACTAAAATTCAATCGGCATTATTTATTATACTTAAATATATCATTTAATTTTAATTATTTAAATTTTAGTCATTAATTTATTTTTTGAGATATTAATTTTAATCACTCAATTCTTAGTTATCAAATATGTTTTTATTTTTGTTTATGCCTAATATTAATAATAATGTATTAATGATATTAAACACTCAATCTTTTCTTTTTCAGATTTGTTAAATTTTCTACTTCTATGGCATGTATCCAATAGTTATTGCCAATATTAATTTTGTGTTTCTCGTTCAAGATTTTCTTTATGTTTAGTATCTTAAAATGTGAAACGAAACTTTCATAAATTCATTTTTTTCTTGTGGGTTACGAAAATTAATAGAAAAAAGAGTCAACCAAATGAATTTGTGAAAGCACAAAACAAATAATCGCATGAATATATTTTTTTTTCACTAAAGGTAGGACTGCAAAAAAAAAGTAGAAATATTAGTAAAGAAAAGGGTAAAATTTGAGAAAATGGAATTGTGAGAGAGAAAGTGTGACAACAAAAGGGACCCACAAAAAACACTGGTCAAAAGAAAATGGTGCTCTCACACAACTATTGTTGGTTGTGCCTCAACCACCATAAATTTTTTCGAATAAAAATACTTCAATAGAGATCAAAATTTATACTCCAATCATATGGCATGAGTGTATCAATAAGGATTCAACAGTACATGCTCTTTTGGGCTAGCTAGTGTTGGCTTGCATAATGGATTGCAGTCACTTGAGGATCTATCATATGTTTCACCTATTTAAAGGGATGGAGATTGACATTGCATTCAACTTTAAAGAACCAACAAGATTTTACTACAAACACTTAAAGTGAGGTATCAATTTACAAGAGAATCTAAAGTGGTAAATATTCAATGATAGATGTCAACATGTTCAAGTTGTAAAGTATGTTTTGGGGATTTAATTGAGGGTTAGCAATATCAAACGAGACCAAGAAAAGTAAATCGAATGTTAGGGTAATGAGCTTGTAGATAAAGAAAGTTTAATGTGGATATTCTTGTGTGAAATTATCTAAGAATTTTAGTAGAAATGTCTATATGGTGATTTATTATTTTATCAATTTAAACTAGTCAGTAATAAGAATCAATTTTGTGGGATAACCAATAGGCTACTAGGTACTTTCGGTGACAAGATTTTGCGATGGATTGTACTCAGAGGCGGATTCAAGATTTTCACTCAAGTCGAAAAATAGGAATTTGGGAAGTGAAAAGTGATTTAGCCTTTAGGAATGGGACCTTGAATATTTTTGGTTCAAATCCACACTTTTAGCACATTTTTTTATTTTAAAAAAACGAAAAAATAGGAACTGAACTAAATGAAAAGAAAGCTAAAAAAATGAAATGCTCACGCCAGGATTCAAACTCCAGACGTGAAAGTTAACTTTAAGGAGACATGTCACTGTGCTATTGTTAAGGTTTTGTCCTGATTTTCTTACCTTATTTGAAATTTTTTTTTTCTTTAAAAAAAAATCAAAGTGTTATCATAAATGCTTGAACTTTTTCTGAAAGAAAAATATAATTTTCTTTCATATTTGGTTTATTCTTTCCTTAGAAAAAAGCTTGGAAATCTATAAATTAAATATCCCTATTCTCATAGCATAACATAATGACATCCACAATGTAGTCATTTAGAGAGTCTTGTTTATGGGGAGATTTTCTTCTAAACATATTTATGTTTTTCAATATTAGTTTTATAATATGTGGGTCGCTTGACCAAATTATATTAATAATACGTCTTTAGTATGTTTTTATTTGTCATCTGATTTATCAATATCATGATTTGCAATTGTAAACTTCTGCATGACGCCCT